TCAAAAAGAAATGGTCAATGTTCAACCATGTTAAGAGGTAACATATGATCAAGCATTGATGGTACTGAAGGAAGAAGTGCAATCTGCAATGAAGGAACTGGTCTAAAGCAGGGTTCCAAGAATTGATGGACTACAAATTGAAATCTTTCAACAAACTGGTGCAGTACTAGAGAGACTGATTTATCTATGGCACAGAATTTAGAAGAAAAGTACCTGGTCACCTGACAAGATGATATCCATAGTTGTGTCTATTCCAAAGAGAGGTGACCCACAGAATGTGAAAATAATCTAATAATAGATTTATATGCAAGTAAAATTTTGCTTCAGATAATTAAAAACAGCTGCAGCAACACATCCACCAGGAACTGCCAGAATCTAAGTGAAAGTAGAACTAGAGATATCATTGCTCACATCAGATGGATCTTAACTGAAAGCACAGAATGCCAGAAAGATGTTTACTTGTCCTTTTTTGACTTTGCAAAGACTTTTGGCTGTGTGGATTATGACAAGCTCTCTATACCATTGCGAAGAATGGGTATTCCAGAACATTTGACTGTGGCTCATCAGTAACCTGTACATGGACCAAAAGGCAGTGGTTCACACAAAACTGTTGTTGCTGTTGTTAGGTGCCATCGAGTTGGTACCAACCCATAGCAACCTATGCATAGCAGAACAAAACACGGCCCGGTCCTGGGCCAACCTCACTACTGTTGCCACGCTTGAGTCCATTGATGCTGTCATGTGGCAAATCCATCTCATTGGGGGTCTTCCTCTTTTTCTCTGACCCTCTACCTTACCAAACATGATATCCTTCTCCAGTGACTGGTCCCTCCTGACAATATATCCAAAGTATAATTGACGATGTTTGGCCATCTTGGCCTCCAAGGAGCATTCTGGCTATACTGTTTTCTAAAACGGATCTATTGGTTCTTTTGGCAGCCCAAGGCACTTTCAATATTCTCCTCCAACACCATAACTCAAAAGCCTCAATTCTTCTAGGGTCTTCCTTATTCACTGCCCAGTTTTTGCATGTATATGAGGTTGAAAATAGCATGGCTTGGGTCAGGCGCACCTTAGTCCTCAAGCTGACATCTTTGCTCTTCAACACTTTTAAAATGTCTTGTGCGTTAGATTTGCCTAATGCAATACGTCATTTGATTTCTTACTGCTTCTTCTGTGAGTATTGATAGTTGAGCCAAGAAGAATGAAGTCCTTGACAACTTCAATCTTTTCTCCATTGATAAGAATGTTGTTTGTTGGTCCAGTGGTGAGAATTTTTATTTGCTTGACATTGAAATATAATTCATACTGAAGGCTGTGGTCTTTGATCTTCATCAGTAAATGTTTTAAGTCCTCTTCACTTTCAGCTTGCTTACTTGCTTGGTTGTATCATCTGCATTTTGCAGATTGTTAATGAGTCTTCCCTCAATCCTGATGCCACATTTTTCTTCATATAACCCAGCTTCTCAGATTATTTGCTCAGCATACAGGTTGAATAAGTATGGTG